AGCAGGGCGAACTCCCCCGAGACGTGGTACACGGCCAGCGGATGGGTGGGGTGCTGAGGGGAGCGGCGGGGAGGGAGGTCAGCCGGCGGGGGACACCCCTCCCCAGGTCCGGCGTCCCCTCCCCAGTGCTCCAGCACCCACCCCAAGAAGCTAAACCAACAGTAACAGCCCTTCTGGTTTGGCTATCCAAGCGGGCTGTCCCAAACGTACACCTCTTCTCACCCTCCTCCTTCAGGGACACCCTGTGCCCTCATGGGCACACAGAAAGGGCTTACTCGAGCCTTGATGTCCCTCACGAGGTCCAGGTAGGGCATCCCCGGCTTTACCATCAGCATGTCCGCTCCCTCGCGCACATCCCGGTCCTGTGAGGGGAACACGCGTGCAGCCCCGCCAGCTCAGGGTAGAAGAACATTTTCCAGCAAATCCACAGTTGTTTTTCCCCACAAGTTTTGACCTGGTGATTGGTTTTCCCAGGAGGGATCACAGAAGGGTTCGGTGAGCCCTTAATGCCACAGGAGCCCCTGGATGGCCTGTTACGGAGGAGAGCGGACGCTCCCCTCACCAGATGCACACTGCCTGGAGAAAGCCGGTGGCTGCATGTCCCTGGACCTGACACCCGAAGTCACAGTAGGGCATGGGGTCACCAGCTCCACAGCACACAGTCCTCAGGCCGATGCTGGGGACCAACTCTGCGGCAGGCTCATGGGCCTCATGTTTCTCTTTCTTATGGAGGGGGAAGACCCTTGACCATTTCGGCTGGTGTGCCTCCTACCCCCTTTTGACTCCAACACCCCTGGGCTTGCTATCCCCAAACCCTGCTGGGTGCGAAGGCTTGTCACCTGGGCACCACATGAGGGTTTTCCAGTCCCCACATCCATAAACCCACGACCCTTGGTGCTGGCCCTGGCAGCCTGACCCCAGCTCACTCACCACAGCACGCATTGCCAGGCCCCTGGCGCCCGGGGGCAGCTGGTAGCATCGCCTGTCTCCGAAGGCTGGTTTGGATAGCGCAGCATCCCTGGTGACAGACAAGGCAGAGGGCAGGGGATGAGGACCAGCATGGTCCCCCCATGCCCCTCACCTCATAGAGCTTCAGAGACAGACCAGGACAAGTGCCTGAGCCATCGGGGCCAGAAAAAGGGGGTCTCTCCTGACCCGCCTCTGCCCCAGGATCACTCTGGGAGGTCCGACAGGCCCAGGGTGGCCCTGGGAGCTGTGTTTCAACACCTGCCACCCTCCCCATGCCCGGAGTCTGGGGTAAAATCATGTCAGATGTTTTCCTTTTGCTCTTTTCTGTGGCAGGTCCCTCAGAGATGCCCTGTCAGTGTCAGGCTGTTCTTGGGACAAGGTCTAACAGCTGACTGAGCTGAGGCTTGTCCCTAAAGCCACCTTTTGGGGCAACACCGTCTCCCACAACTCCCCTCCTCAATGTTCCTGGCAGCTCCCTCCCCGCCTGCCTTGCCACCAGCACCCAGGATGAACAGCTGAAGAGGTGGGATGGAAGATCACCTGGGTGATCTTCCCACCAGCAAACCTCTCCTGGACAAGGTACATTTGTCTTCCTTTTGCATTGGGAAGTAGGAGGAGAGTGCTCCAAAGCGACCAGGCTCTAGATGAGCCCCCTTCCCAAATAACTATCCAGGAACCCACCTCCCGGCGCTGGCTGGGGACACTCCCAGCTGAGGGACAGACCCACCTGAAGGGACCGTAAAAGCACGAAGCAAACTTAGCACTGTAGCTCATCACCGAGACCTGCGGAGGAGAGTGGAGCCATGAGGACCAGAAGCTCAGTGCTGCATCCGGGCGCCGGAGCAGTGGTAATTCCCTCCCCCGGCTGTTTTATACTCTGCCCCACATCCTCCTTCCCCTGCCAGAGGGCTGGCACCTTGCTGTCCCCATGTCCAGGCAAGGACATTTCCTTCCTGCATGCATCAGGGCAGGGAAATATCTGTGGCATGTCCTGGGCAGTGCGAGGGTTTGCTTCTCCCACTGCTTGTCCAGGTCCTCTTGTGGTGCAGCCTCCCCGTGGATGCTGCTCTTGCCTTTGGCACATGCAGATCCTGAGCTCACCTTGTTGCCCAAGTCATTGGAGATCAGTGCCACCTTGATGGCTGCGATGCGCCCATCCATCATGTCCGAGGGGGCAACGATGTGGCAGCCTGCAGGGAAAGACCAGAGACGCCAGAAGTGCCCGAGGCTGTGACTCTGCCTGCAGGAGGAGGTGACCCCAGGGCCAGAGGGGCCCTGGGTGCCTGCAGCTCTGCCAGGGCCAGCTTGGAGCAAAAGCACTCTCAGATGGAGCCAGGCCCAGTTTGGTTTTAGGCCTGCTGAAAGCGAGAGGGGGCAGGTCCACGAGAGTCAGACTTGGGTACCACTGCCAGGAGACTCCCCACCTGCTTTGGCGTAGGCCAGTGCCACTTCTGCCAGCCGCTGGCAGCTGAGCTCGTTCTGGATAGTGCCGTCCTCACGCAGGATGCCTAGGAGACAAACCCGGGGTTAGGCAGGGGGCCGGACGGCCGGTTGCCTTGATCCCTAGGGTGGCTCTCGCTACGCAGATGCTCAGAGCAACAGCAGGGAATGTGTTAAGAGAGTTGCGTAAGAACCAGGAGAACAACGATGCAGCCCTCCAGGACTGGACACGACATGTGGGTGCTCCAGGGAAGGGCAGACAGTGATGGGGGACACAGACAGGCGCTCAGACAAATTCAGATGGCCGGGGATTGAGTGCCTTAACCCCCTATGCCTCCCACCCTGCTGTCAAAACCCAGAAGAGGTCTCCCTGGCCCAACCACAGCAGTACTGGGGAGCCAAGTCATGGGGCAGGAGCTGGCCAGGCCCTACCAGCACCCAGAGCTCCTCAGCCAAAAATGGCAAACCACCAGAGACTCCCAGTCCCAGGAAAATGCCTGAAGAGCTGCCCAGGACCCCAGGCTGGGCGCTTACCGCAGTGCCCGTGGGAGGTGTAAGGGCACAAGCAGACATCGCAGGCTATGAGCAGCTCTGGGAAGGTAGCACGGATCTTCTTGATTGCCTGGATGGCAGGCATGTTCTCGTCATCAGCAGCGGAGCCTCTCTCATCCTGTGAGAAGAGAAATGCCTCAGCATCCACAGCCGAGGGCCTCCCACCAGCTCCTCTGTGGCAGCAGTTCCGCCCAGGTAATGTTTTCTGAACCATGAGACCCTGTAACGCAGGGCAGTGTGACCACCAACGATGGAAAAGGGCGATGGAGTAGTGCCTCTGAGCAGCGAGTGCACATCTCAGGACCACCCGCAAGAGCTCTGAGAGCTTTTTGGGTCTCACTACAGTCTCCCATCCCCATCCTGCTCTGCTGAGCGCCGTGCAAGTACGCCCAGAGATCCTTAACTGCTGCTGTCTGATGAGGAGACCCCCTGTCCCCACACTCTTCTCCCATACACCTGTGGTGACCCCAAGCCCCCTGCCACCACCATGCAGACTGACCTTGTGGACCTTGCTGGGCACCCCGAAGATGAGCACACACTTCAGACCGTCCTCAATGAGGGGACGCAGCATCCCCTCCAGCTTGTTGACTCCGTATCTGAGAAGAGCAAAGCAAAGGGAGGCTGCCAGGCACCCAGACCTGCTCTGTGGGGCAAGCTGGTCTGTGATGTGGATACTGGTCTGTGAGCATCCACAAGCAGCCACACCAAGCAGCAGCTGGAAGTGCAGGCAAGATGTTGCCTGAACACTGGGAGGAACAATCCAGGACCTTATCTGGGGCTACACGAGTGTTATCTACCCAGCATGGACACTGTCTGCTCTGAAAGGATGAGCATGTCCTGCCCTTGGATCCTTTATCTCAGCTTCCCTGTTGCAGATCCATCCCACCTCCCCACAGGACCATTCCCTCGGGGGCCTCTCTGACCACAATCCTGCTAACATGGCAGCAGAGGGAGATGTGAGCTGCCAGTCCAGCAAGATCTAATATGGGACCAGAGCCCGTGTCCTTGCACAGGTTTTCTAGCTGCTGCTGGAGACCCCATTTGCTTCCAACCTCCCTGCGTGCTCAGCCCACACAACGTGCGAGTGCTCTGGGACATCACAAGACCCTGGCACTACCCCTGCCAGTACTGGTACTTTCCCAGCATCCCCAGTATGATTCCTTCCACTCCCGTGGCAGACAAATGCTCCTGCCCTGCCTGATGCTGGGGGATCCCCAAGGCAGGGACCACAGAGGGTTGGAAGCATCACCCCTGGCCCATGCTCATCTCAGGCCACACATCAACCCTGCTCAGGCACGGGGCACGGCAGCGACTGGTGTGCAGCTCGGTGGGGCTGGATTCTTACCTGGCTTGTCCAGGGAGGCCGGGGATCAGCTCCACTGCATCGGGGCTGTCACTGCAGGAGGTGGATGGGAAAGAGATGTGAGGACGTGACATGAGAAGGAAGCCCCTACCCCAGGCTTGTCCACAGGGAATCTTCTGGGAAGTCCAAACCTGTCTAAGAGCTCAGGGAGCATCTCAGCCAGTCAACCTGAGCTTGGTCCGTCCCTAACCCAGAGAGCCAGGGCTCACTCACGTGACAAAAATGGGGTAGATGAGGTTGGAGGCATCAAAGGTGGTTGCTGTGCACTGCCAGGAGCGTAGCACCGGGTGGAAGTAGCCGCTGTGAAGAAGGGAGTCTGCCTGCATCTTGGGCTTTCACTAGGTGGCTGTGGAAGGAGACTCTGAAACAACAAAAGAAACCAGCAGGCTCCTTAGTGGTGGTGTCCTGCTAAGCCATGGCTATCGGTGCATGCAAGGAGGGGGTTGAGATCCAGGCAGCCACTGCAGGGCCGTCCCTGTCCCGCTCCGGGCACACGCGGGGAGCACGAGCTGCAGCCCAGCCAGCTTCAGCCCCACTCTGCCCTGCGCCGGGTGGGTGTTGCAGGACCCCACATCAGCAGTCACAGCAAGGCACTTCCTGTAAACAGGGACGATGCCGACTCCTCCCCACAAAACCTCTCAGTTCTATGTGTGAAACCACCAATTTACAGTCACCAGCATCCTCCTGCAGCAGAACCACGTTGACGTGGTTCAACACTACCACCCTCCTCAGGCTCCGTCTGCTCTAGCTTGGGTAACTGTACCAGCAGTTTTCTAATGAAAAGTCATTGCTTAATGCATTTTACTTTTGCTTTATAATTGTTTTGCATACACAGTAGTCAAAAGCTGCTCTGCGTAGCATGAAGTATTTGTGGCTACAGCGTACGGGTGCTGTTACAGAAGAGTACGGGCAGCGGATGAGAGAGGTGCAGGTCATCCTGAAGGTACCAGGGCTACAAACCCCGTGGTCACACACCTCTGGTAGTCACTTACTGCTGGATAAAGAAAACTTGGGAGTTCATAGAATCATAGACTGGTTTGGGTTGGAAGGGACCTTAAAGGTCATCTCGTTCCACCCCCTGCCCTGGGCAGGGACACCTCCCACCAGCCCAGGTTGCTCCAAGCCCCGTCCAACCTGGCCTTGAACACCTCCAGGGATGGGGCAGCCACAGCTTCTCTGGGCAACCTGCGCCAGTGCCTCACCCTCAGAGTAAAGAATTTCTTCCTCATTGGGCAAAACAATTTCTTCTTAGTTGGGCAAAACAGATTCAGAGGTAACAAAGAGCAATTATTCAATATACATAAATCAAGTGTTAGACATATTATTGTTGTAACTTTTTCTTTAGCAATATTTTCTTCTTACGTAAGAGATGTAGTAATAATTCTGCGATTATACCGTTAACATTTAAATTTCCACTAGCACTAAATTCTCACTGACATGTAGTTGATGAGAGCGCGACGGAAGGGGGTGGGGAGGGCGGCTGCCCCGGGAAGAGGCATTTGGCTGCAGCACAGAAGAGAGCGGCTGTTACGGCCGGGACGCCCGGGGAGCCACAACCTGAACAACAGACTGTTTGTACAGAGTGACTTCAAGGACTTCTGCTGGCTGCACACACAGGGCCACGTCCCACAAACAGCGCAGAGGAGCCGGGGGGTGTTCCGGGAAACAACCAGCAAAGTCCCCACTGGGCACCACAGATTTTGTTTTGAGAGCTGAAACCAGAGGGAGGTGGGTGAGAGCTGGAGACGAGCTTCCTAAACAGCAAACAGGATTCCTCCGCTGGCACCAGGAACAGAGAGGACGTGAGATCCCTCCCATCTCGGGGGAGCAGCCCCACAGTCCCCAGTCCTGTCCCAGGAAGCATCCCCAGCAATAAATTGGCTCTCTCCGGAGAGCAGACATGGCTCACACAGCATCCCAGGATGCAGGCCAGGGGAGAAATCTTTACACCAGCACTTGTGACAGCAACGGAGCTGGGCAGGAGACGGCCCCATTCTGGGAAACCTTTAATTTGAGGTGCTCACCTATTTTACATGATCAAGATCCTCGATGGTCTTAAAGGTCCCTTCCAACCTAGACAATTCTATGATTCAGATATGCTAGTGCTGAGCCGAGTTCCCAGTCTGTATTGGGCCACCCCAGTGCATGGGGCACTTGTCATACAGGGGCACTGCCTTCAGTCCAGGAGTCTTGCATCCCCAGCGATTACCTCTACGTGGGGATGGGGAAAAAGGCACCTGTCAATTTCTTACAAGCTTACATGTGTAATAACACCATATAAAAAAAATCAGACGGTGCTTGAGGGGGATGCAGACCAGCTGATGGGCATGATGGCAGTGTCACAGCCTCACTTGGCAAGTAATTTTTAGCCCTGGAAAGCTGCCGCTCCAGTCCTTACTCACAGGGAAGGGGACAGCCCTCAGGTCAACTGGAGTCGGCAGCCCCAGCGCAGTGGCTGGGCTCCAGGCTGGGCTCCAGGCAGGCAGCGATGGAGAACAAAAGGCTCAGTGAATGAACCCCATCTCGAGAATCCAAAAAATGTTTTAAACAGTTAATCCCACAGGCGGAAGGGGAGGGGGGGAAGGGGTGGGACCAGAGGCACCTGATTCTGTATGGGACAGATAGAGACCATAGCTCCAGAAACTGCCCTCTCCGGGGAAGGAGGAGCAGGGCACCCGGTGGAATTGTAGAGCAGAGATAACGGCCGGGACGGGTGGGCCCTGGTGCAGCGCCCGACTGCTGCGAGGTCGGGGGAGCCAGGGCCTCCTTACGAGCCCCACGTGCAGGAGAATCTACCCAGGGTTAGCGGCTCCCCTTGCCCACGCACGGCACCCGAGCAGATGAGGACACCGGGGTCCCACAGCCACAGAGCCCCTGTACGCCCCACGGCTGCCCGACAGCCAGGGAAGGACGTCAGGGATGCAGAGGACAGCAAGAGTGCCGCGATAAGGAGACGATGCACCACGGATGTTACATCCTAAAATGGGACTGTTTGCCCGGAGACCCCCTTTGGGCTCCGAGTAGGGCACACACGCCTCTTTCTCCAACATTAAAGGCCCAAATCTCTATTTCTAAAGCAATTTGCTTCAGGCACACCAAAGCATCAGTAAGGAGGAGTTTAAGAACAGCCCTGCAGCTCCCTCCCGAGCAAACGGTTCCGCAGCAGAGTGGTTTCACCTTTGCTCCTCCAGACCAGGACTGCTCAAGGACCAACCCAAACCTGCAGCACCCAAACCGTCACCCAGCCCGAGCCTGCCGCGGTGACGCCGGGTGCCTCGCTGCATGCGAGGAGAGGGAAGTGACTGCGGAACGAGAGAAGCACGCACACCCTGCCCTCCCTCCCCACTGCACTAGCACCGACGAAACAAACTCGGTGGATGGGCCGAAGCCGGACCCAACGCACGCCAACGGTGAGCTGCGCAGCTCTGACAGCACCGCCGAGCCAGCCGCTCGCTGCCTGTCCACCGCCGAGACGCGGGGAAGTTGTTTTCCAGCATTTTAGGACGCAGAAAGGGGGCACAACTATTTACCTGAAGTCCTAGAGACACGCAAGCTCCCAAAATCCCAGGTGGGAGCAGGGAGGGATTGGAGCGTGTTAGGAAAACAGAGCTCCCCGGGGAGACAACGGAGCTGCGGGTTAATTAACAGTCACTAACAAAGGTGAAGATGTTACGGCCGATTTCATCTCCCAGGTGGGGTCTGGAACCGGGGATGCTCTGGGGGGTCTGTGCACCCCGGGATGAGCGGCGGCTCAGGAGTGATGTCAGCCTGCTGGCTGCTCTCCCCACGGGAACTGCCGGTTACCGAGCGGACACCGGGCTGCCCTTGCTGCGCGTTACCGAGGGCT